AGTTCTGTTGATTTCTTAATTCTCTCACAAGTAGGCTAAGAAATCTTTATGATTCCTTAATATTTCTTTAGTTTTAGCTCTGTATTAAAAAATTATATTGTGGAAAATATATAAAATAAGAATAGTGTAAGGAACCTCCAGCTTAAACTGTTATCGAATCATGGCCATTTTTGTTTCATGTATCTCTGCCAACTTCCTCCTCCCCTACGCTATCATTCATCATTCTTAAATGTTTCACAATGTTATATCCAAAAGACCATTTTTTTAAGTAACATAAAGGGAATACCATTACTCCATTTAAAAACTTTGACAATTCCTTAATATCATTAATACCTAGGCAGTTTGTCAGTTTCCCTAATTGTCTCAAAAATTTTTTAAAAAAATAACTTACTTGTTGAGAACAATATTGAAATGTACATCTCAGTTGATTAGGTCTCTTCTTTTAAAACAGCTTGAGACATAATTCACATCAATAGATGGCACATATTTAGTGTGTACAGTTTTACAAGCTTCGACATACTTATACACTTTTGAAACCATTACCACAATCAAAATCATGAGCATATCCATCACCATACAGAGTTTCCTTGTGTGTCTTTGTAGTCCCTCTCTCTTGTCCCATGTCCCTCAGGCAACCAGTGACCTACTTTCTGTCCCTACAGATTAGTTTGCAGTTGCTATGATTTTATATAAATGAAATCAGGCAGCTTGTGCTCTTTTTGGTCTCAGTTCTTTTGCTGAGCATGTTACTGTGAGATTCATTCATGTTGTTGTGTGTATCCGTGGTTCATTCCTTCTCATTGCTGAGCAGTGTTCCCTGTACAGGTGGATCATAGTTTCTCCATTTACCTGTTGGTGGTCATTGGGTTATTTCCAGTTTTTGCTGTAAAGCTGCTACAGACATTTTTGTATACACGTGTTTATATGGATATATGCTTTCATTTCTCCTGAGTAAACATCTAGGAGTGGAATGGCTGGACTATATGGTATGTGTATATTTGATTTTGTAAGAAACTGTCAAATTCTATTCTAAAGTGGTTGTACCATTATTATTTTTTCACCGGCAGTAAATGAAAGTTTAGTTCTTCTGCATCCTTGTTAGTACTTGGTCATTTTTTATAATTTTTAGTCATAATAATAAGTGCATATCTCATTGTGGTTTTAAGATTCATTTCCTTACTGACTCATAATGTTGAGCATCTTTTCATGTGGTATTTGCCATCTGTATATCTGTATATCATCTGTAGGAAAGCTACTTTAATAAAGAACCACTACTGCTAGATTCTTGATTGTTTCTAGGGCATTTTAGTGGACAGAGCTGGGCAATAGATACACACATAACATAAATATTATAAAATGAGTTTATTCAATATTTCCAAGATGAATTTAGGATACAGAATTTTTAACTAGATGTTCTTACAATCGTTTCTCCCTTTCTTGCATACTGAAAATCAGTTCTCAGTGACATTACACTATTAATCATTTGCTACACATATAATGGTCACAAATAACATTACCAACACTACCCTCAATGATATGATTACTGAAAAGTTATGTACCAGGAGATGAGTAATCAAATTTGTATTTTAAAGTCAGTTGAAATCGTTTCTCTTGATGTTTATATCACCAGTTTCATAAACATTTAGGAAAAATGAATATTTTACTTTCAAATTTTAGAGACTGAATTTTAAAAAAATCCATTTTATAATTATGTAAAATATTTACATGTTTCTAAAGTTCAGTCTGAAAAATAGTATTTTCAAGTAGCTCCTATCTTTGTTCTTTCTTGATTATATTCCAATTTTTAAAAAACATATGATGTGAATATATCTTTGTATGTGTCCCCATTTCTTTGGTGAATGGTAACATCCTATACAACCTCACTTTGCTCTTTTCTCACTCTGTCTGGAAGGTGCTCCATAGTGGTATATAAAGGTACTGTTCATTCCTTTTTAGCTAGTTAATATCCATGTGTGGTTATAATTTTTCTACCAAATTCCTCTTTAGATGGATTTGGGTTTCCAGTATTTCGTTATTACAAAGTCTTTTCTTAGTATCTTTTCATATTTTTGCCAACATATGTTTAAGATCTATGCTTAAATCTTGGTATTTTTCCAGCATTTTATTATGAAAAATTTCAAACAGCAAAGTTTAAAGAGTTTAAACATCTATACCCACCATCTAAACTCTGCCATTTATATTTTACCATATTTGTTTTATCACATATCCATCCATTATTAATTTATCATGTTTTTGAATACATTTCATAGTAAATTATAAGCATCTATACACTTCACTTCCCCCAAGTAGTTCGACATCGTTAAATAGAACTCAGTGTTTGTTTACAGTTTTTTCTTCTGATATAAAATGTATATACTGTGAAATGTACAAATCTTCAGTGTATATTCAGTGTTTTGACAAATGCATATCCTTGTGGAATCTAAACTCCTGTCAGTATGTAGAATATTACCAGTCACCCCAGAAAATTCCTTCGTGTTCCTTCAGAGGCAACCACTGCTTTGATGTTTTCTTCTACCATCGGCTTGGTATTGTAAAGTGACTGCAAATGTATCTGTTTTGGATGCACTGTGATTAGGTGTGTCTCCTGATTTTACTTATATTTTTCATGACGTTAACCTGTATGTTTCTAGAACCTTAAATTACATTAGCCCTTCAGTCAAGGTGTAGATTTGATCCTGTCCCCACTCCCCTCCTACTGTTTTATTTCTTTTAAATATCTTTATTGAGCCATAATTCTCATAATGTACACCTCAGACATTTAAAGTGCACAAGTCAATAGTTTGGGGTATATTACATTATTAATTTTTTGAAATCATAAAAATGTAGCTAACATAGAAGTTGCCATTATCACCATTTAAAAATATACAATTTAGTGGCATCAATTACATTCATATTGTGTATAACCATCACCACTATCCATCTCCAAAAATTTTTATCATCCCAAACAGAAACTCTGTATGCATTGGACAATAACTCAGAACTCTGTATCCATTAAACACTAACTCTGCATTGCCCCCTTCTCTCAGCCCCTGGTAACCTCTATTCTACTTTGTTTTGATGAATTTCCCTATTCTGGGTACCTCATAGAAGTAGAATCATTCAATATTTATCCTTTTGTACCTGGCTTATTTCACTTAGCGTAATGTTTTCAGGTTCATCCATGTTGTGGCAAGTGTCAGTACTTCCTTTTCTGCATATTATTTTTTGTAGTGATAAAATACATATTAATATAATATTTACAATTGTAATCCTTTTAAAGTGTACAATTCAGTGGCATTTAGTATGTGCACAGTGTTATGCCACCATCACCATTATCTAGTTCCAGAACACTTTCCTCATCCCAAAAGGAAACTTCATACCCATTAACAGTCATTCCCCATTCTCCCTCCCCAGCCTCTGGCTACTACCAGTCTGCTTTCTGTCTCTATGAATTTGCCTCTTCTGAATATTTCATATGAATGGAATCATACATAAGTCTTTTTTGCCTGGCTTATTTCACTTGACATTATGTTTTCAAGGTTTATTCATGTTGTAATGTATATTAGTACTTTGTTTCTTTTTATTGCCAAATATTCTAAAAACTTTACCATATGTTGTTTATCCATTCATTAGTTGATGGACATTTAGGTTGTTTCCCTTTTTGGCTATTGTAAATAATGCTGCAATGAACATTCATGTAGAAGTTTTCATGTGGACATACGTTTTTATTTCTCTTAGATATTTCCCCAGGAGTGAAACTGCTGGGTTATAGGCTAACTCTGTGTTTACATTTTTGAGGAACTGCCAGGCTTTTTCCAAGTGGTCACACCGTTTTATTAATACATTCCCACCAGCAATGTATATGTGTTCCAATTTGTCCACATCCTCCCCAGCACTTGTTAAATGTCTTGTTGATGCTAGCCATCCTAGTGGATATGGAGTTGCCCAACTCACTGTGGTTTTGATTTATGTTTCTTTGATGGCTAATGATGTTGCACATCTTATTGGCTATTTGTATATCTTCTTCGGAAAAGAAGATCCTTGGCAGTTTTTTAGTTGGGTCATTTGTCCCTGCTAATACATACGAGTCCTTTATGTATTCTAGATACAAGTCCCTTATCAGATATATAATTTGTAAATATTTTCTCAATTTTTATGAGTTATCTTTTCACTTTTTCATGGTGTTCTTTGCAGCACAGAAGTTTTAGATGATGGATGTCCAATTTATCTACTTTTTCTTTGGCTGTTTGTGCTTTTGGTGTCATACAGAAGAAACCATTGCATAATCCAAGATCATGAAGGTTTATGCCTGTTTTCTGCTAAGAATTTTATACTTTCAGTTCTTATATTTATGGTGCGAGGTAGGGGTTCAACTTCATTCTTTTGCATGTAGATATCCAGTTGTCCCAGCACCATTTGTTGAGAAGACTTTTCATTCTCCACTGAATTATCTTTGGCACCCTCGTTGAAAAAAAGTCGGTTGACCATATATGAGGATTTATTTTTGGACTCTGAATTTTATTCTATCGATCTATGTGTCTATCTTCTGTTTTCTTTTTTAAACTCACTAATTTAAAGGGGATATTTACAAAAGTATGAATTTGTGACACACTGTTTTAAAACTTCTGTTCATGGTTTCCTATATTTTATTTCAATAGCATCTCTCATTTTCTTCCACAAGTATCTCATTTTTTCTACAATGCCATTTGGAAGGGAGTGCTGGTGGGGAAGAGTAATGTTAATGTTGTGGGGATAGTGAGGTTCCCATTTTTCAGACACTTCTGTGAACACGGATAGGAAGTATCTTCTGTTGGCAATGATAGCATAAAATGATGGAAATAAAATACAGAAGGTTATGATTCAAAGATTTTCTTACCTTATTTTCATTTGCGACATAGTACCATAAAAGTATGTTAAACTAATGGTTATAACTTTTCTTTGATAAAGTAGATATTTCAGTCCCATCAAAAATTATTCTTAATAATTATACGTCTTTATAGAGTTCCTGACTTGGAGGTAGAAGAAGAAACTCAAGTTCAAGAGATGACCTTAGATGAGTGGAAAAATCTTCAAGAACAGACCAGACCAAAGCCTGAGTTTAACATCCGGAAACCAGAATCTACTGTTCCTTCCAAAGCAGTGGTGATTCACAAGTCAAAATACAGAGATGACGTAAGCATTACATTTTGTATCTAGAGGTAATCTTTACTTTTGCCTTATTGGAAATGAAATGGACTTTTCCACTTCTGTTTTGAAAATGGAACATTAATAGCTGACATTCTTGTTTCTAATCATAGATGATGTATGCCTAATTTTACTATATCTTTATTGTTCGCAAGAAGAGGAATTGAAACTTGATGTATTGACACTTAAGTATAAAGCAGTTAGAGTGACAGTGCATTTTCTGCTGACCCTGGAACTGTGCTGAGACTGTACAAATACTGCATATTAATTGTATTTCATTTTTATCTGTTAAGTGAAAGGTACAGGATGATGCCATTTCAGAGGATACCTACTCTGTATTTTCCTGATTAGATTACCTTCAGCTCTAATTCTTACTAAGAGCATTTCATTGGGAGTAGTTGATCATTTTAACACATTAACTGTCATGTGAGTTGTATTTAACTCACGCTAGTTTTGAGCCCTGGGCTTTGTGAAGCATATGTAACTGCAGTTTGTTCGTGAAAATCTTACTTGTTGATGTTCTTATGGTTACAATTAATATTGACAATTGAATTGCATATAACTCACACATAGAAAACAACTAAAAAAAATTTTTTTTTCATTGAGTTAGAAAGGATCATTTTGTTTTCAAAGTTTTTATTCTATTTTCTTAATAAAACACTGTGGCTCCAAGGAAAACAATTTTTTTTTCCTACTGTGGCAGTCAATATGTTAAACTATGGTTGGGGTTCTGTGTTCTGTGATGCCTTTCCCCTGTTTTTTCCGCGGTTTTGCGCCCTCCGCCTAACTGCAGGAATGGCAGGAGATAGCTCCTGAGTTGCCTGACTGTTTAGGCACTGCCGCAACAGCCGCCACGCCCTGTGTTGTGAAGGCCTCGTTTTTCATGGTTTACATTTAGCTCTTTTTCAGATGCCTTAGTTTTGAAGGAAGATGTTTCAGTGAAAATATCTACCAGCATCTATTGCTAATTGTCATTTAATCATATTCTGTTTACGTTATTGAACTTAAGGGTATGCTGACCACGTGCGTACCCTAATTATGGAATTTAGAATTCGCATCATTCAGTCACAGCTTGAAGCCATCCGTGTGTGGCTGTGGTGATGAGCACACTCTTCTCTGCTGGATGTTATTCGCTGATTTCCAGTTTGAAGCTCAGGAATTTCATACTATGTAGATTTGTCTATGTTCGCATTTACACTTTGGTTACTAATATTCTCTGAGTGAATGCTTTGATGAGAGGGTTATTTATGATCCCCTCCCACCCTCTTGTTTCGGTCAGTCCAAGCTCCTGGAGGCCTTACTGCTAAGTTTTGAGCTGCTCCACTAGAAATGGCTTTTTGCAGACATAGGAGGCCAGAGCCTTATTCCGTTGGAAATCTATGAGGTTGTTTTACAAGTCCATTAGCTAGCTGGGTTCTTTGTTCTTTTTCGTTCCGGGCTTTGTAAATAAAGCTTTCTCCAAAATAAATGTGCTGTCAGAATGTGAAATATGCAGCTGACATGTTAGGTAAAAATAGAAGCTGCTCTTCCTTAATCCACATCAGATTCATCCTCCCCGGCTCCAGAGGTCTCCTGGAATATTTGAAGCAACTGGGTTAGCTGAGTCATCGAGCTTGGTCTCGGTAAAGCACATATCTTTGGTCCTTGTTAATCTTAGAGCATTGAAGCTTTTAGCCAGGAACTGTTCTTAAAGCAACATAAACCAAATCTTGGAGTCATTAGTTAACTTTGTTCTGGACACCCTAAGAGACAAAAGCACTAGAATAATACCTCTTGTTTGCCTGGAACTTTGTCTGAAAAGTTAGGTCTCCTAACAGCAAACCTATGAAATGAGCTGGGCAGTTAGAGCACTTTGGCCAGGGCCAGACAGGACTGGGAGTGGAACCCAGGCCTTAGACCTGTGGTCCCAACCCCTGTGCCGCAGACCGGTACCTGCCCATGGCCTGTTAGTGACCGGGCCGCAGAGCTCCTTCGAGGTACCCTCCTACCCCCCACCCCATCCCCATCAGTGGAATAATTGTCTTCCATGAAACTTAGGAAGGGGGGGCACACAGCAGGAGGTGAGTGGTGGGTGAGCCAAGCTTCATCTGTGTTTACAGCCACTCCCCTCCCCACCTGAGCTCCACACTCCCGCTCTGTGGAAAAATTGTCTTCCATGAAACCAGCCCCTGGTGCCAAAAAAGTTGGGTACCACTGGGCTAGACTGTGAATTCGCTCCTCATTCCACTGCACTGTGCCCATCTTGCGATGGGGTGCACAGCATGGCTCAGCAGGCCAGCTTTGCCAGCTGCTTCCCTGCCGCGACACGCTGAGAGCCAGTTTTCTCAGCAAGGCAGTAATTTATTATTTTGCCTCTTACTATTTCTCGCCTGTTTATCTTTTTACCAGAGTGCGGTGCTCCTGGGTTACTTTCCTTCACCTTTTGGCTTCAAGAATCCATCTGTCTAAAGCCTCAGCTTTATTTTAATCTGAAACTTTAAAGGGACACAAATGTTAAACATGAAACCTGTAGTGAATATATGGCCCAAAGGGGTCTATATGTTCATGGAAATTTTATACCATTTCCCGAACAAGTTGTAGGAATGTTTACACACTACTTTGGGGGAAAAAACTACTACTTTTGAGATTCTCATGCAAGATCATTGGCATGTTTTCTGTAGGTTTATATTTTACTTAAAGTGAAGGTTTTTGTTGTTTTATCCTTATTATAAGATGAAGCCAAATCAATTATGGATTAGATTTATTTAATATAGTTTGCTTTTTTGAGACAGAGTCTCGCTCTGTTGCCCAGGCTAGAGTGCTATGGCGTCAGCCTAGCTCACAGCAACCTCAAACTCCTGGGCTCAAGTGATCCTACTGCCTCAGCCTCCCGAGTAGCTGGGACTATGAGCACATGCCACCATGCCCAGCTAATTTTTTCTATATATTTTTAGTTGTCCAGCTAATTTCTTTCTATTTTTTTAGTAGAGACGGGGTCTCGCTCTTGCTCAGGCTGGTCTCGAACTCCTGAGCTCAACGATCTGCCCGCCTCGGCCTCCCTAAGTGCTAGGATTATAGGCGTGAGCCACCGTGCCTGGCCTAATAATATAGTTTTCTTTTTACAAGAGATACAACTTATTTGACCTCTTAAAATAAAACAGTTTCTGGTATTAACTGATCAACACATAAATGCACATATAAGAATAACATCAATTGGATGTTGGGCAGGAGGGAGGAGGGAGAGGGAGGAGGGAGGAGGGGACGGGTATTTGCATACACAAAGAGTGCAATGCGCACCACCCGAAGGATGGACATATTTCAAACTCGGACTTAGGAGGGGAGGGAGGGGCAAGGACAACATACGTAACCTAAACATCTGTACCCCCATAATATGCTGAAATAAAAAAAAAAAATAAATAAAACAGTTTCTCAGAATTTTACTTAAAGCAGTTCTTAAAGAGCAGCTTGACTTTATGTAGCATTGATAGTGACACCCAAATACCCATACTCTGTTGTTTTACAAAATTTCTACATATTTTGACTGAGAATTGTTTATTGTAAATCATGCAGTTTTTATTTTATTTTTTAATTTTTTTAAAGCCAGTCAAATTTAGCAGTGGGGGGTAATCATGTGGTTTTTAACATGTGGTATTTGGACAGTCGGCACTTAACATTGAAAGGAATTTCTCTGTCAAGTTCTAGGAAGGTGATATTTCCTTCTTTGTCAAAGTAGCATTTGTAAACAAATGAGATAGAAAATAAGCAGAAATTGGCCAGGTGCAGTGCCTCACACCTGTAATCCCAGCACTATGGGAGGCCAAGGCAGGAGGGTCACTTGAAGCCAGGAGTTCGAGACCAGCCTGGGCAACATCGCAAGACCGTGTCTCTACAAAAAAAGTTTAAAAATTAGCTAGGCATGGTGGCATGTGCCTGTAGTCCCAGCTACTCTGGGGGCAGAGGCAGGAGGCTCACCTGAGCCCAGTTCAAGGTTACAGTAAGCCATGATTGTGCCATTCATTGCACTCCAGCCTGGGCGACAGAGCAATACCTGTCTCTTAAGAAAAAAGAAAGGAAGCATAAATTAAAACTTTTTAATCTCAAAAGTAGATATAAAACATTTATGTTGATTGCTGTTAATCTTGCCACATCTTACATCTTAACCTGCTCAACTGGCGGAACTTTGGTGTTACATGGAATCATAGTAAGTTCAAAAATGTTCGGATTAGACTGTAATTACGAGAATGTGTGACTGTGAAATGCACAGAACTCACTTGCGGTAGAACCAGGACAGCAGTGCTGTCTTCCTTTGTCCAGGGAGCGGCTCTGTTCAGCCTCTCATGGTGGTCGGCCCCTGTGCGCCATGTCGGAAAGGCCCATCCCTAGGATACTAAGCTGAGCGAGTGTTCGTGGAGATGGCTGTGTATGTGTCCGTGTCTGATGCTGTTACTGTGTTTCAGATGGTAAAGGATGACTATGAAGATGATTCCCACGTCTTCCGGAAAGCCACCAATGACATCACATCCCAGTTGGAGATTAATTTTGGTAACCTCCCTCGTCCCGGGCGTGGAGCCAGAGGTGGCACCCGGGGAGGCCGGGGAAGGATCAGAAGGGCAGAGAACTATGGACCCAGAGCAGAAGTGGTGGTAGGTGTTTGTATTATAAATCCTGGGTGGTTTGCTGAAGGAAGTGAGGATGAGGATGCCCTGGGCCCGGTGGTCTAATTTTGGAGGGTCATTTGGAAAGTTCTGCAATTGCTTCCTCCTCTGGCCAGTGTGGGTCTGACGCTGGGGCATTTGGAATGGTGGCGGAGCGTCACAGGCATCGGTCGGATACAGACCATTCCGTAGCTCTGGCTTCCCAGGGTCTGCAGGGAGGTCTGCCGTGTGCCATGATGCACTCCCAGCACCGGAGAAAACTCTCTCCTGATCTGTGTCAGACAAGGTCCCTGGGCTCAGGATGGAATCCGACCGCCTGACAGTTGCTTCCTGTGGTCTGAGTGTCGCCTTATGCCCAGGCTATGCTTTCCGGGTAGACAGAATCCTTCCTAAGGCTTTAAGACCCTTTGTAATCGCCCCCCTTACCCCCTCCCTGGCTTGCCTGCCCCCACCATCCTTGCCGCATCCTCAGCCAACGCTGCTCTGCTCCCAGCTGCTCACACTGCACACTTCTCACCCCATGGGCCTCTGCCCCTGCAGGTCCTCCCACCACCCCCATGCCTCTTACCTGGAGTAGATCCTTCCTGCCTCACTTCCTCAGAGAACCTTTCTCTGATCACATCTCCTTCTGGACTCGTCAGGGTTTGTGAGCAAACGGTTTTATTTCTTTTCTTTGAAGCGTTGTCTCCATTTGCAGTTGTATTCTCACTGGTGTGATTATTGATTGATCTGCTCACCTTCCAGCACACAGAAAGCATGTCTGCCTTTGCTCCTCATGCATTTCCCAGTGCCAAGCACAGTGCTTAGCGTGTAGTATGGTGTCTTGTATGATGTAGTAGGTGTATTGTATGATAAACGTATGAGCACCAATTTAGCAGGATTCGGACACGAGGCCCTGTGGCCAGCGTGGGCCACCATGTGGTCCTTTTGACATTGGAGCCGGCACAGAACCCCTTCTCTGTGGCTGGTCTCGGCAGTGTTCCTTTTGTTACCTGATTCCCTCACTCTAGGGAGCAGCTGCTGGAAGAAGTACTTATAGTTTGTTTTTACTTAACCAAGAGCAAAAACAGTTTTTTTTCCTGGGTACGTTTGAGGCTAGGTTGGAAAAAGGATCTGTTCTGGGAATAGAAAATACACACTCACTCCTTTCCAGTAGCAGAGCTCTGGCCACCTGCAGTGTCAGTGTGGACCATATGGAGAGCACCCAGGGATCTGGCACCACCTGCCTCTGCACCCGCGTCCGCGCCCCCCGCCGCCTACCTGTGCTCCTCCAGCGCAGAGCTGCCTTGGGGCCTGTCCTCCTCACGGTTAGGTCACAGTTTCCCGGTCTGTGTTCTCTTTGCTCATGTGCTGCGGCTTATCTCAGGGAGAACCTTGCCCGACCGTAATGTCTGCTTGCCACCAAATTGTGCCGGACGTCCTTACTGTGGGCCCCTAATTCCCAGGATACTTGTTACCGAAGTTCCCGACTTGACTTTCTCAGCGTTTCTCTCCCTAGCTCGTGAGCTCCCCAAGACAGGAGCTGTCTGTATTCATCTCAGTATCTCCAGTGCACGGCATGTGGTAAACCTTACTGGACGAAGGAAGCGCCAGATACAAAAGGGTCCCCGATAAACATTTCTGGGAAGGAGCGAGGAGACAGCTCCAGCCCTAGTGCAGAGGTGGCAGGAGCACGTGTGAGAGGGGAGCGGCACCTTTCCCTGGGTTTGTGGTGACCCTGCGACTCTTCCCACCGTGGGCCCTCCTCTCCCGCAGTGTGGGTGCCCAGTGCTGGCCACACTGGGAATGGGTGAAACGGCCATGGGTTTCAAAACGTTTCTTTTCCTTTTCAGATACAAGACGTTGCTCCCAACCCAGATGACCCTGACCACTTTCCTGCTCTGGCATGAGAGGGCCGAGCCCTGTTTCCCTGGCGACCGAGCAGGGTCCGCGTACCTGTGAAGAGACTTTTCTTGCTGTGGGAAGAGAGTCAGACTCTAAGAACAATAGATGTTGCTTTTCCCTGTCGTGTGAATTTGTTGCACTTTTTTGGTCTGAGGGGAGTGGGCTAGAGGAGCTTCTCCAGAGGCTCGCGCAGGCACTTCCTGCCAGGGGGTCAGGTCAGCCCTTTCCCAGGAAGGTGCGGAATGGTGGCTGTTTTCTTATTTGAGGAACTCAAATGAAGTTCAGGAATAATGTTTGAAATGTGTACATAGAGATTGTGTTGAATCCTCCACACAAGCGTGGAGGGTGAAGTAACTTGTAAAATAGACTCTATTGAGATTATGTAGCAAGTTGTACAGATGTCGGAAGGTCGTGTCTTTTAGTATTAGAGGAGATACATAGAAATGAGCTGTTCATTTAGAGCAGTCACAGCCTAGTTTTCAGAGATCAAGAAATTATAATTGTATTTACTGCTTACTTGTAAATGTTATATACTCTCCTACAATATTTTGAGTTCTGGTTTTCATTTAACCAATAATTTTAAGGAGCTATTGTGCAGCCACAGGTCACCATTCTGTGACAGAGAATCAGAGAAAGTGTTTTTAATGGTGATCTAAACTACCTCGTGGTTTCAGTGTGTAGGTACACACACACATGTATTTAGTGTTTGGGTGGTTTTTAGGATGAGTATTAAGTATATGATATTTAAAATCATGTTTAACTCTCTCAGTGAAAAGGGGCCCTGGCAAGACAACACCACATCCTTTTCTCCCTCACAACTGCTATCAGAATTCAGTCGCTGTGCGCTAAGGCCCTCTCTCTGCCCTTGTCCTGGCTGAGAGCTGTAAATAGCTAATATTTATTGAACACCTGCATTTTTCTCACCTGGTCCTTGCCCCAGTTCTAGATCTCCTCCCTGTTCCCTTGGTGAAAGCTTGGGGTTAGGGGCTACCTCAGAGGTTCAGTAACTCACCGGAGTCACACCCTACGGATGTGCCAAGCGCATCCACCAACGGGGCCCACCAGGCGCCTGAGAGGAATTGGCAGGGAGGGGGTGGGGCCAGAGGCAGCTGTAACCGCTGCTCGAAGCTGGGGTGATGCTGTCCCCAGTTTCCTGAAGAAACCGTGGGTGGTGTTTGCCTATTGTCACACAGTTCATATGCTTGTCATGGAATTTGGACCATGGTCTCAGGATCTGTGCTTTTTCCCACTTTGCTACACTGTCTCAGATGGCTCTGGACTGGAACCCAAGTGTAAATAAAGGTTGGTATTCCCTCCTAACTTGGTGTGCTTTTGGTCACACCCAGGCCACGGCAGAGTCGTGATTTTGTTGAATAATCAAAGCTGAACCCCTTGACGTGTTCTGGTCAGTTGCGGACGTTGGCTTTGGGTGACAGCCTACTTTTGGTCTCTTGTTATTAAATTAACATCTGAGTACTAAAGTATGTTAACTGATTGTTTTATTTCCTTTCTCCCCACGCCCCCCGGTCTAAGTTAAGAAATCTTGTGAGAGTGAACGTCAGGTTTAGTCCTAGTCAGCTGAGGCAACGTGAGGGCTGTGTCATTACTCAGCAGGTTTGAAGCTGTCGTGTTAAGTCACTTTGCCTCAACGTTAGCTTTGAAGATTATTAGCCAGAGACCCCTTTTCAGAAAATTCCAATTTAGTGTTGTGAATAACACTTGAAAAGCCCATAGCACTTGATCTAATGTTATAATTGCAAAACACTGCATCCTTTTCAGACACATTGACAGTTCCTAGACCATGGAGCTGTCTTGAGTCATGTGGTCAGAAAGTTTTGGGGGACATCGTATAGTTTCTGAGCCTGTGCTGGGCTTCGTTTGCCTACCAGGGCCACCTCTCGCGGTTTGGTGGAGCAAATGGATGTGGGTTTTTGTTTGTGGCTGTTCGAGGTTGCCCACAGCCCAGGCGCCCCGAGAAGACAGAGCAGAAAGAGAGGGCAGTGGAAGTCTTCAGGCGCTGCAGGGAGAATTGGCTGGGGCGGGGGGCGCAGTAGGAGTGTGTACTTGCACCTAACACAAGGCAGGACCTTCCAGAATAGAGTCCCGTGCCAGACTCCTTTGAGGTGCTTGGGTGTACACAGGTCAGGAGGCAGGGCGCGCTGGGTGCCACGTTAACCTACAAAAGCACTACGTGGTCAGGCCCCAAGCGGGCTCAGAAAGTAGAGGTCAAGCAGTTTGATCTGCGAGGGCGGGTCAGCCACCCCCAGGACTGACTGGATCATTTCTGAACCTGGGGTTCCCTGCTGGGTCTTGCAGGTATCCGAGTTGTGCCACCAGGGCAGCCGCTGAAGATAGTGACGTCCCCGGGGCCTGCGGAACAGCCTGGCAACTGGGGGAAGCCGCCCTGCAGCGAGCGAGCTGGGGGCAAGCTCACGAGCACGTGCGCACGCAGCTGCGTAGGGCGGGGGCGGCTTGGTACCCCACTTTGGATGGAAACTGAAGTTGCACGTCTGACTCACAAGGTCCAGAAAGAGGCGGCCTCACGAGGGATGCCGCTGGCTGGGAGCGCCTCTGCGGGCGCGGAGGTGGATGCTTTGAACGTCTGCCGGGCTGCTTTGAAAAGTTCACCTTTAGCCTAATGATAAGCCTTTGGCGTTTTCACGGGCATAAGGCGGCCGCTCCAAACCAGGTCCCATCTTCCTTGGTGTTGGTCACGCTTCAGATCCTTTTGTTCATCCAGCAACAACACGCCGTTCTGGTGCATGGGGATTGCAGAGGTGCGGACATCGTCATTGCTTTGAAGCTGTACCCTGTGGCACTGTCGAGGCCTACAGAGCGGCCTGCTCCCCAGCCATCCTGCCGGCGGCGTGGGCCCGTCCACCCTCTCCACTGCTGTGGCAGCAGTTTCACTTTGAGAGATTTGCCCATGTTTCTTTTGCTGCTGCGTCTCCTTGCAGCCTTCTGCACAGATCACGCTGGTGTGAACAGCCTTCCCTGAGCCCTCCCCGGTGCTCGCTGGTAGCAGGCAACCTGGGATGTGCCTCGCCTGGCTCTGTCTCACAGGGGCCATGTGTGTGGTGAAGGGAATGAGGAAGGAAGAAAGCAGGAATATTCACAGACCTGTTTATTGTTAAACAAGGTACAGACAAAAGGGCAAAACTTACTTGTAACTACGTTTTCCTCTGAAGCCTCCCCACTCTAGAAGGAGCCACTGTCCTGACTTACAGGAACCTCTGCCCACAGGGGCACCCCTCGTCACTATAGTTTTGCCCTTGGTTTGTACATCTTTTAAGTCTGAGGGATGCTCCCTCCACCCGACTGCTCCCCCTTTGCACCCGTGGCAGAGCCCGGTGACTGGGGCAGCTGGCAGTCCTCGAGTGCCTGTGAGTGCTGTCTTGTCTGCCTCGTCACAGCCCAGGGCAGGCAGCAGGCAAGGGCGCTGAACTTCCTAGCTCCTAGCTAGTATTTGGGCAGGGATGGATGAGGGGGACGGGCAGAAACCAGACTCAATCCCCAAACCGATGTTCTTTCTACACACTCCTGAAATTTCCAGTTAACACATTAACTGTCATGTGAGTTGTATTTAACTCACGCTAGTTTTGAGCCCAGGGGCCTTGTGATGCATATGTAACTCACACGTCTCTTTACCTTGGGAGCTGCGTGGCGTGCAGGCAGTTCACGCTGCCACGCTGTAGCATGCATGGGCAAAACCCTGCAGTTGTTGATGTTCTTACTGTTGCAATTAATATTAACAATTTAATTGCATACAACTCACAGAAAACAATAAAAAATAAATTTTTAATTAGAAAGGATCATTTTATTTTCGAAGTTTATTCTATTTTCTAATAAAATAGTGTTGCTAATAAAACACTGAGGCCTTAAGGAAAAAAAATCTTTTTTAGTGTGGAAGTCAGTATGTTAAATGATTAGTCCCTTGGGCAAAGCAGGAGCGAGGACAGGAGACGGTGCTCACCGCCCCCCCAACCCCCCCAAGCGACGTGAGAGGCGCGCGGCAGAGCACGTGCTGGACGTGCTGGACGCAGCAGCAGCACGCATGGCCACCTGCACGGCTCTCCACCAGGAGCACGGGGCGGGACTAGTGTTACTGGAAGCTTATTGGGCTCTTGCACGGGCAGAGGGAGCAAGACCTGAGAGGCCAAGAGATTAGGTTCCAGGTCACCAGCAAGGCACTGAGGGGGGCAGGATCAGAGCTTGGCTCTCCCCAGGCCTCAGGGAGGTGCCTCAGCCCTACGGGCCTAGCAGCTCCTGCTTCCTCTGCCTGGTCTCTGCCCGTCTCCCGTTGCTCCAGGAAAGGCTTTACCTAGGCCGCAAGGCTTCCGGGACTCCAGATGATAGGAATTTCTCTGACCAAACCACAAAGGCGCTCGCACCCCTCACGGCTTCGCCGTGAGCAAAGCCGGCCCCTGTGGGGAGAGTAGGTCCAGTCAATGGAGCGGAGAACCGACTGCCTTCTAAGCATGTTTTTTTGCAAACATGTGCCCAATTCCAGAGGTCTGACTTATATAACCTTGGCAGCACAAAGCCATTTGTAAGTTGGGGATGCCTGTCATGTGAGAATGGAGTGGCGTCAACTGACACATGAGCCCCAGAGAGGCTTCTTAGAGTTCTCAAGTGTTCTCAGACACTGAGGCAGGGTAAAATATCTCTCCTCAAAAACAGCCACCCGCCAAAGCACTTGAGGACCTGGAGGCAGCAGGGCTGCTCTAGCTGGGCACCCATGTTGTGCACTGCCTAACCCTGGGGACTGGATTCACATTGACTTCAGTGTGGGGATGTTCCCTGGAGTTGTGTGATGAACAACCTGCACAACTGTACTGGCGTCCCACTCAGATACTGGCCACTGGCCTTGCATTAGAGCATCAGTGAGGAAAGCTTTTAAGGCATCTGAGTCAAGTCCCAAGCAAACTGATCAGAACTTGCAGGTTCAGGTGGGAGAGTGGGAGTGAGCAGAGATGCTGCAGAAGTTTTCAGAAAGAGGGAACGGTGGACAGAAATGGGAACGCCAGGTGGCCCGTGAGGGAAGTGGTCATGGGAGGTGGGAAGTTGTGACCAAGGTGGAAAGACAGTGCTCAGGAACTTCTACTGAGGATCCTGGAAGGCCGGGGTGGGGGGAGTAGGGGGTCAGGAGGACTGAAACAGGCACCCTCACTGCACAGCACGGCCAGCACGGCCGTAAGTGGGCCTGTCCGTGCGCTCCTCAAAACTGGCATGAGCTTTCCTGGGAGATGGAGGGGCTTCGGCCTCCGTCAGATAGTCACAGGGCTCCTAACATACTGGGCTTAGGATTGACCAGAGAGGGTGTCAGCTCTGTCCCTTCACCACCTGGGGCCCAGTCACACCCCAGGCCACCTAACAGGATGGCGCTTGGCTGAAATCTCAATACCCAGTGGAGGACGAGGCAAGAACACTCTTTCGCTACAAGGCTGCGGCACGGGCCTGGGGAAAGAGGCTGAAACTGCACCTGGAGAGAATTCCCGATGGCGAGTGCTGTGCGTCCGGGACAGACCTGCCCTGGAGGCCTAGTCCCCGTGGACCCCGAGCCAGGTTAAAAGCCAGTCTAGAGAAGTCACAGCCCGGGACAGCCAGTCATCACTGGAAAAGGGAGGAGACGGGCAGAGCTGTGTTTAGCACCACGGCGGAGCCTGTCTCGGAGCTCTGCGCACACCGCGAGGCCTAGTCCCGGCCGCCGGCTGTGCTCTAAAGCCCCGGGTAACCGCAAGGCGGGTCAGGGGGTGTCAGGGGCGAGCCAGGGCAGAGCCACTCTGAACAACATAAGCGGTCCAGGGGGGCCGCAAGCCATCTCCCCCCGTCCTGGCCTGCCCAACAGTGAGGCATGAACTCACCTGCTGCTTAGGGACATGCCCATCACAGCCCCGCCCGGGGAGCTCCCGCGTGCCCTCCGCTGTGTCGTAACAGACCCCTTGCTGCGGGCACGGTGGGATAAGCGGGGGCCAGGGAGGAAGGCACTTTCCTCACTAGCACGAGGCCCACCCTGCAGTCTCGGGGGCCCTAATCCCAGGGGTGAGCCCCACTCCTGCAGCGCCCCCCCCAAAATGAAAACTTTCCTCTAGCGCCTTCCTCTGCCCCCTCGAGCTGGGCCAGGGGACGGGCAGGAGAATAGCATTTGCTTCAGCAGGGTCCCAAGAGTGAGCGCCTGCGGCTGTTGTCACGCCACCGCTGGGAAAAGCTGTGCTGACACCGGTGGGCAGCTCCCAGCTGGGGGCAGCACTGGCCCTGGGCTCGGCTGAACGCGTGCGGGGTGTGCGGACCGTCCGCCGGCACCGAGTGGGTGTGCGGTGCCAGGGACACCAGACGCGCGGCATTCTCTGGAGAGTCCTACGCAGGGGAGAACGGTCCTGCCTGAAAAGCCGCCTTGTTTTACACAGAGGAACACACACGGGGTGAGGAAAACCATTGTCCTTCTCCAAGTGAAACAAGGCACAAGCCACACTACCTCCTCCACGCTTGCTTTTCCACCCAAAGAGTCTCCCTGTTTAACAATAACTTGGCCGAGGGGCCGGGGCCAGGGCCCTCCTTACCTGGGGATGTGGGTGTGCACAGAGCACGCGTCGTCCAGAAGCGTGTCAAAGCCATGCGGACTTGCTGGCAAAGAGATGAGACACAGTTAGAGGCCAGGCAAGGTGGCCAGGTGTGCTACTCATGGAAGGATCTCCGTCTCCACCTGGGCGGTGTCCCCTAAGAGGGAGCTGGAGAGGGCCTGGGGGAGGGGCCCGGAAAGGTCTGCTCAGAAGGGTTTATTGTTTCCTTCCCCCGCAAGCTGACAGGAATGCTGAGGCTATGTAACATATGGGCACTGCGCCGACCCCTCGGAAGACAAAATGCCCCAAATCTGAATACTGGGCCAGCTAAGGACAGGACTGTATACAGCAGGCGAGTGTGGTGACCCATGACCCATGACACTGGGGTCAATGTCCTGCTATTGATTAACCCGCTCACCAGTGTCACGATAACTGCTAGTGGGGGAGGAAGGGGGTGTGGGGGATTGTACATTGTCACAGTCCTTTTGCAGAGCATTAAGGGAACAATTTTATTTTATTAAACAATACGTGTGGCTCTTAGTATGTGCCAGGCACTTGTTCTAAGTGATTAACAAATACTAACTTATTTACTCCTCACACCTAGTCCTGTACGATAGATATTGCCACCCCCATTTTAGAGAAGGAGCAGGTTGAGGGAATCTAAGTAACTTGGCCCGAATCACACGGCTAGTAAGTGGCAGAGCGAAGGTTTGTATCTGGGTCCAGAACCCACGCTCTGAACAATCACATTAGGCCGCTTTCCGATGCAGTGTGCAGCAAAAGCTTAAAAAATCTGCCTATCTCTTGACCCAGGAATCCCTTCTGCAAGAATTTATCCTGAGGAAATGACCAGCACTGCCCAGGAAGAATTTACATGCAAGCACATTCATGCAGTGCCCTAACAGCAAACAGCTGGAAACCGCCCACAGGGCCAACAGTGGGGAGAAGACGGTTACGTAAGTCACGGCGTACTACAGAGGAAGTAAAAATTATGTTTTTGGAGAATTCCTCCCAAGATGCTGCTTTCCAGGGCACCCACAAGTGCACTTGGCCACACGGAAGGAGGGAGAGAAAGCAGAGTCGATGTTGCACCGCAGTGGCACCGGAACCAGTGCTAAGGCAGGGACACATGATTCTTTTGATCCAAACACTATGCACTTACCGGTGCGATTCCTTGCCCTGAACAAACCACTCTCAAGAGACTTACCTTCAGCGTCCCCCTTCACGGCAAAATAGTTTATTTGACCTCTTTTAAAACGCTCACACCATTACACGTGCATAAAACTATGCTGCAGGTACCAAAAATATCAGTGAGGGACTATAATCAGTCTTTACCCAGTTATCTAGAGAAAATTACCTAAAAAGTATGACAAAATAATTTATTGAAAGCTACGTGTCCAATACTGTTTTAAGCGCTTTGTATGTATTATCTCATTTAACTCTATACTGCTAAGGCAAGAATTCTTATGACCATTTTATTTAAGAAACGGAAGCAGAGGGCTTCCGCAAACCGTCTTCGGAGTGGACTGGCACTGGGGCAGTGTGGCTGCGGACCACAGAGAAGGAGACACATCTACAGGCCAGAGGCCTCCACGCCCACCGCTCCCACTGCACGTCCCGGAAGACACCGGCCCTCCAGTGGGGCACAGGTGTACGCATGCCTGTGGTTTCATCTAAAGCCCTGCAAGCTTCGGGGCCTTGCGGCCAAGCCGGCCCCTCCCAGCACACAGGGACTTCATGGAACTGCTTGGCTCACGGCAACCGCTCGAGCTCCTGCAGGTCAGGAGGACAACACAGCACCCGGCCCTGTCCTCAAGGGAAACCACAGAGGGACGGGCAGAGGCCGCCGCTTCCCAGAGGGCAGAGCCTGCAAATGTCACACCTGGGGGGGCCATGTGTGGGAGGAGTTTGGAGAGAGATGAGGAGACAGGTCCCTCTGGTTTTTACTCTGAAAGCTCCTACCCCAGTGTGCATCAAGGCCCAGCTCCCTGGGGGAACTGGATGAACCCCTCAGCAGAACAAGGCCCTAAGTACCAGCCATGAGCTCTGTGTGAGGTGTGGACATCGTGCCTTAAGGACCCTGCCCGAGCAAGAGAGACTGTCAGCAGGGAGGGCAAGTAAAGTGCGCACTGGGGCTGGCGTCCCGTACAGATGTCAGGACGTGAACAGCCTCACTACGGGTCCTGGCCGGCCACGGCCGGGGAAGAGAAAGGGCCGCAGTCTACCACCTCCAGGCCCCCAACTGCCTGATAAATGTGAGTCTCATCCCAGTGGCCTCCAGAGAGTCAAAAACCCCTGCATGGCGTGAGCTGGTGGTGAGGTGTGGGTGGGACGACCTCACAGCGGGAGCCCCACTGTCACTAAAGAAGGTGGGATGGGCTGACTCGGATCCCCCCAAAATGAAATGCTGGAGCCCTAACCCCAGCCCCTCAGGACATGACTGTATTTGGAGACAGGGCCTTTAAAGAGGTGGTTAAGGTAAAAGGAGGCTGTTAGGGTGGGCCCCAGTCCCATCTGACCAGTGTCCTTATGAGAGGAGATCAGGACGTGCAGAGAGACTCCAGGGATGTGCCGGCGCAGAAGAGAAGTCACAGGAAGGAACGGCGAGAAGGCGGCTGTGTGGAAGCCGCGGGGAGAGGCTTCAGGAGAAGCCAAACCTGCTGACACCCTGTTCTTGCATTTCCAGCTTCCAGAACTGTGAGAAAATAAATTTCTGTTGTTTAAGCCACTGGGTGTGTGCAGCCCTAGCAGACTAAAAGATTCTGGGTTATGTCTGCTGTATATTTTAACTACTGCCCACCGTAACTGAGGATGCTCAGTGAGTCAGTACAATAAACCAAAAGGCTGTTTGGTTAATAGTTTTAATTACATGAATATAATTATACAATTTCCACTATTCAATATTTTGTATAAAAACCAGTTACAATACACAAGATTTTCAAATGTGACAAATGCGTATCAAACTACATATATATGCAAAGTTTACAGGCCGTTATGAAGCTTTACCTTAAAAATACCTTCAGGAAAATAAACATTCATTCAACCAGTTCTCTAGGCTTTAAAAAATATGATTAGAAATATACATTGTAATAAAAAAATCAAGACAATGATCAAATACTGATTAATCAGTTACATTTTAAAACTTTTAATAATCTTTACATGAATGCAGGTTGGATAAAAGTCTGCAAATTATTAGTATAAAACTTCAGTACTATCATCAGATGAACAATGTGCTGACAGTTAATTCTACCGGGTAATTAGGAGGTAATTTCCTACACAGTATAGGCCAGTTGTCCAGTCTTTTAAGCACATCTGCCGTATTTCCGCTCAGTGACACGGAGCACACTCAGATGTGGAGATTTGGAAGAGCAGCAGCTGGCCTCCCCAGGACTGTTTAATAGTGGGAGAAAACTATTAAAGAAATAATGGAGTACGTTTTTAAAGTTGTTTCTGATGAGTACTGCTTCCCCAAATGCAATGATTATATCTGCAAATGCAGGCGCACAGGAGGAGTTAAGCTACATTAAGAACGGACACCCGAGCGCACTGCTCGCGTGTCATGGACGGTGGTTCAGGCGAGGGGAAGCCCTCGGGCCACACACATGCAGAAGGCATCCTGCTCCAACAGCCAACACGCTGGCCTCGTGAGAGCACTTAGGAACTCCTCTAGAACCTGTCTGGGCCCACCAAAAGAGGTAGCGATCACCCCGTGAAAGGGCTACGAGGGCAGGGGAGGGCGTGGGTGGGTGACAGGCTAAGGGCATGAAGCCAAGAACGGGGAAGTTCTGCAGAGGAGCCGCCGCACCTCTCAGGAGGCGCCACTCACAGCTCCCTCCGCACTGACAGGCAAGCGCCTTTGAGTTCCTCTTCAGCGCTGCCAAATACAAGTCTGTACTTCCAAGAACCTAGTTTTGCAGACACCCTTCCTTTGGACTGTCCCTGCCTCTTATGATGTGAGTCCCCAGAAAGCTTCAAGGGCACCTAAAAATATTCATTTCTAATTTTAATCCTATTGGAAACTCTCTTGGTATATTTTCTGAGTTATTTAAGGCTCTTAAAGGAATTTCTTCCATCTGACATGTACTGTTTCATATTCCATAGCAACAAGGTCTTCTATAACAAGGACTCTAAGTTAGAACCCCAGGAGATTCTGGGTGTTTTGTGGTTTCAGTTGGTCGTGGTGGCTGGAGGGGTGCGGTGAGTCCACTAGCATTCATAGCAGAAAGAACTTTCCATCAGTTAGACCCAGAGGCTTTCTGGATTCCCTACGCCTTCAATATTGTTGCTATGTGCTCCACGTGAAGCACTATCCCAAGGCATCTGGGATTCCAAGGAATGCTTCTTTACCAAACAGAAGTTTCCTATGACTAATTTCAATGAGCCAGTTAAATACAGGGATTTTTTACAAAGAGCCACAGTGATAACAATTCTAGCTGGAAACTTGAGCAGCCAATGTGAAGAGGCAATCTACAAAACAAAAAAGCAGTGGTTCGCACTGACACCCTTTTTACTCTAGGCCAAAATACCAAGTGGCTTATTCACTGTGAGGGAGCAGTGCCCACCGAGAGCCACGGCAGGCAGCACATTTACTTGTTCTGACACAATAAAAAGCCAAACCAACAATGGTTCAGACGGAAGTTTGACTTTTGCAACTACCTGGATTATTTATGGAGGAGGGAGCCTTAAGAAGTGTAAGCGGAAGGAGAGATGCCCTGAGAATTCGATGCTTCGTGCACTGGCACAGTTTGAATACTTCGTATTGTCTCAGCACAAGACAGCAAATGGAACGCTTCTCCTCTACCCGAATCTTCTTGAAGAGTGGTCTTCCCATAGGGAAGTGGGTTTTTGTGCCCATTCACTTCCAGGGATAGAAAACCACTCTTTTTCTGTGATCTGGTCGCCAGCGTTTCAAAGCCGGCATGCTCGCACTCCCAGAGTGCCTGGGGGGGAAGGAGCTGTGTGGCTGAGACAAGGGCATCTTCGTCTCCCATGGATGTCAGTTTTACACTTTACTCCAAGACAGTAAACACCAAATGGAGTCACTGCTTTCAGTTACTTTGTGCATTAAAGACTTTAACCTGCTTATTCCAGCCACATTTTATCCCTAATAATTCTGTGGAAAAGGCAGCTCCTTCAAACGGAGCTGCCTGCTGACCTGATACATTCCTCTTGACTTGGGAGGGCATTTGTCCCCAGTGCCAAATATGGCATCCCTCCATTCTCCAAACCAGCACAGGCAAAATCTGCTTAACAATAACTAAACCATCCACTTCTTACAATGGGAGGAACCAAGGTGAGTGCAAAATATTCTTTTATTTGGGGTCCCATTTTTGTTGTTTTTAGCAGCAAATGAATTCTTTGTGATTGCTTTATATCACAGACTCCGCTGTGTTTCATAGGGGCGCGGGGAGAAGGCACTCTGCAAAGAGTTACTGGTTGTATTCCCTAACCAAAGGCAACAGTGAGTTTTCTTACCACAAACAACTGAAATCCAGAAGCAAATAACTGTCGCTGAAATCAAAGGATGTGCAAATGGCCTTAGGCTAATCACATAAGGAAAAAATCCAACTTACAGAGAAAGACTCTAAAGGAGCAACAGCATTATTTTTAAAGCCACCATTATTTGGGATTGCCGTTTCCAAGGGGAAAACCAACAGTGTATTTTTTCCATGCACGGAAGGAAATATGATTTTAATTTGCGTGACTGGGCAACCAAACAACGGGCAGCGTTGCAATTCTTCAGTCTCTAAGTGACATAAAAAGGAATGACTTGCCACAGTCTTCCAACTCTGAGGCCAGTTTCTCCTCCTGAGTCTTCTAAAGCTACCATGAATATTCTCTTGCAAGTTTTCGGTTACCAAAGTACCACTTCAGTATTACAACATGCAACAGTGTTTAAATGTGGATTTCACAGATTCCTGTCAGTAAAGCACTCTTTGGTGGAAGACAAGCAGCTTGGGTACTTACCAGAGTTAACACTACAACAGTATTACAAATAGTAAAGTGAAGATGATTAAGCCAAATAGTATCAAATTATAGAAAGTACCATTTCAGTAATGCCTCTTTTATCTATATAAATTTTGACATAGGGTCACAGGGCGAACAGAAAATAAATACATAAAAAACCTCCATGAGATCCTCAATCAATTGTTCTGGAGGCCAGCAGCTAAAATGATTGCCATCACAGGGACACACACGCCGCGTGGGCTAGCCAGCTCCCCGGGTCACGGAGGGCTTGGGTATTTACACCTGAGACTAAATTTACAACAGCATTTTTGTTGTTAAGCTTGAGACGGTTCTACAAAAGGAGAGTTGGGTCCTTCTTCGAGTCATTCACTTGTACCCAAACTCAATTAGTTATTTCAACTCCAGTGGACATTTTCTTCATTGAATCAACTTCTTAGGTGGAAAGCAACTAAGGCTTTTGCAATTTTGTTTTGTTCTCAAATTGTGCTAAGTCCTGTCGCAGTTTTCTGTTCCTAGAGTCTTCCTTCAGCTCTGGTCACGGGTTTTTTTTAACGCAAGACTGTTTTAGTCCTTGAAATGGAGGGACTACGGGGGGAAAAAAAAAAGGATTTTACCATAAAGGTTGTAAAGCATCCCACAGGCAGTTATCAAAGACAAGGAAGGCAACAGAATAAAAATACTGACATGCTGAAGAGTATACACGTGGTATAATTTTTTTAATGACAAAGACTTTGGAGAAGACAGCACAGTATCAACCATAAAGTAAAGACAAACAGGAGAGAAAGGCAGAGCAGAAAAAAGTTCAGTTCTGCAAAAAACAAGAACAAAAATAAAATAAATAAAAATTAAGAAAGACGGTGGGCAAAAGCAGCAGAGCAAGGAAAGTACCATAACGCCACAAAGGGCATTTGCTGCAAAGCACTCCTTTTCCTTCCTTCCCGCTGAGGAACCGGGCTGTGGGAGAAGCGGACAGAACGAGAAGACAAACAAGTGTTACTGGATTATTTCCAAAGCCAGGATTTGGTCACAGAAAAAGCTCTGGCACCTTAAGCGGTTTCCAGTCTGGCCAAGTGCAGGAGGCGCCCCCACCTGCCCCAGCGTGGCACCCCAGGACCCTGCTCTGCTCGTAAATGACTGACCACGGTTCTCACCCTGCCTCTCTTCTTCCCTTCCCCGATTTATTATGTGACACTTTCAGTTCAGTAGCAATTCCCAGAGAAAAACGAACGCAAAAGAAAAGAGTCAGAAAAACCAATCTAGAAGTGACCCTCGCTCAGATCATGTAGCTGCTCTACCAGAGAAGGTGTGTATGAATTGATGGTTCGGTTTTCGGAGACCCCAATAGAGTACTGAGTAAAAAGGTTTAGGTGAGGTGGTGAAGCCAAGTGGGAAAACATCTGGAATTTCAAAAGGACATTAATATTTTTAAAGATCAGAGGGAACGAGCATTTAAATAAAGATTAAGTTAGAGAGACAGCCTTCTGGGACTCCTAGGCTGATGTACTTTTTGGAGGTAAGGGCAGTAACAAAAACCTAAAGCCCAGAGGCCATGGAACAGGCACCGAGATCGGAGACTCTGAGGGTCAAGAAGCAGGGACAGGTATGAGAGGGCGACTTAAAAGAAGCCCTGAATGCAGCCACTCCCAGCTGAAGGGCTCATGAACATACACACTCACGATTTTAGAGGCTAAGGAAAGAACCTGACCATTTATCTCCCCCCACGATATGAACAATGAGGGACAAAACACTCCAAAGCCATGGGTGAAGTTGGTTTAGCAACTGCAGCAGAAAGTGATGGTTCCCAATGATGCAACTCAGAATAAAAAAGTCACTTGCACATGAAAGTTTCCATAGAAAATGGATGAAGTTATAATTAAAAAAGAAAAAGACTGCCCAAAAGAAACAGCACGAGCTCACAGAAACATGCACTTGGTGGAAAAGCCCCGGAACGACATGAAGTGAAGAGAATGTCAGCAAACGAGGTGGCCGTGAGTTCTCAGTTGGAGGCGTGATGAAGTTTTTGAGACTCATCCTAAGAGCTCTTCAGAGAGTTAATGTGAGAACACTGAAAACCAGGCCAGTGTGATGGAGCCGGTTAGTCACCGCATTTATTAACTCCTGAAGGAGAAACGTTAGAATGGATGTGTAGCTCTAACAGGAAGCGTGGGTGGGGGTGGCGGTGGGTGGAGAAGCCCGTTCATGTCCCTCATCAGCCCTGAGGCAGGGACTGAGAAGTGCCACACACAGCCCAGCAGCACCCAGGCCAACCGTCCCGGGCGGAGGGCCGCAGTGCAGACACGCCACACAGTCGCTGTGCTGCAGCCGCTGCCACGGACTGCGGTTTCGACGTGGCTTAGTTCAAATGGACACACCAGGGAACGATCACCTGCTATGAGAAACACAGCGGCATTTTTCCCAACAACAAATACTCAGGACGTCACTCATATTTCTTGAGCCCCCTAAGTAATTGCGCTTTTGACGTGTTTGTGAAAAAGTTCTCTAGGCGGGCGTGGTGGCCCACCTGTAGTCCCAGTGACTTGGGAGGCTGAGGCAGGAGGATGGCTTGAGGCCTGGAGCTCGAGGCTGCAGTGAGCTATGATGACACCACTGCACTGCAGCCTGTGGCGGGACCCCTTCTCTTAAAAAAAAAAAAACAAAAAGAATTCTCCAAAGCTGAAGAGCCTCTCAGTAAACTGCCAAAACTCAAAGGAGCCCATTCAGTGCAAAGTGGGTTTAGCTGGGGTCTTCATCCAGGAAGCCTCTAAGAATAGAACGGAATGTGCAAATGAAAGGCCAAGGTCCTGTGCACCACAGACGACGATGATTACTGAGAACAAAATCGACCTGCAAGAAAGAAGGCTCAGGAAGGAACTGGAATAACAAAGTGGACCAGCAGCCTGGCACCTTGAAAGCATGGATGAAAGTACACTGAAAGGCTGTCCTGGTTTTCTTGCACCTCTGTTTAAAGAAAAGATTTCAATTCAATACTATAAAATTACTCAACAATGTCAGCTCACACTATTGTGCCCAGAATGAGATTATGCACCAATATATTAATTCCCTCATTACCCTCCAACCAAAACCAAATAGCATTCAGCAGGCTAAAGCTCCAGGCTACAGCTTGGCTGCCTCTGATTCCTGGAAACTGTACAGAAACTGCACGTAATTTATTTGCCTTTCTTTTGTAAACTATGAGTGGGTAACAGTTAAGGTGATGCGAACATAGGCCAAAGTCCCAAAAGAGGCAAAACAAAAACACCCGTGTAGAGAAAGGTGGTTAAATGAACTGTGAAATCCAATTAACTCTCACTGCTTTACTCCTCTGGCTCTCCAAATCATCTCTGAAAAGTCCATTTTGGAATTTAAAAGAAGCCTTTTTGGTTTTCAGCACTATCTAAATTTCCCGGAAACTTCGGATCATTTCAACATTCAGTCCACACTATTCAGCCTGAAATCTCCTTTAGAATTTTCAGAGCGTCCTTGCAGGGACCTCAGGCAGATGCTCACTAGGTGCTCACTGCAATCAAGAACCATCTCTCCTGAGTGGTACACGTTTAGGTCACTAGAGTGACATGAAAAAACAAAGGCCTAGGTGGAAAAACTGACCCATGGCCAATCCTCCTCAAAGGAAGATGGTGTGACGTGGCAAGCTCCCCCAGGGCTCCTGGGTTCTATTCCTCTGTAACCTAAAAAGCACAATCCAAAAAAGCAAAAAGCAGAATTAAATGTGCAAGACATACTAGACCGTAAGGGAAGCCTGAGTACTCACACCTAAAAAGAACACGTCCACATTGACTATGAGCAGCAGCAGGCTTTTTATTTCCATTTTGAATAGTCTGACTCAAAGTGTTAAAGTTCAAATACTCCCTTTTCCCCTCATGATTGTAGGAAAGTTAGAAAATAAGAAAAGGATAAAAAAAAAGAAAAAAAAGAAATCCTCAGCTGTCCCACCAACCAGAAGAACTGTTAGTATTATAGCATATTTCTCCTTTATCTTATTTCTGTACATATGTAGAATATATTTTTGTACCTATAAACATTTATACATCTACACATTTCTATACATATATATTATCCATTTACAAAAATAGACTCATGCTGCAGAAATTTTACGTGCGGCTGTTTCCACTCAGGGCTTCATGAGCATTTATTCAGGTATTAAATTTTCTTTAAAAACATGACTCCCAATTCATTTGGCATAATTTAACAATCTTTAGCCCATTTTCCTATTTCTCGCTGTTACAAACAACACTCTGATATGTATCTAAATCTTTGACCTTTTGTATGTATTCTCAAGTGGAATCAGAGAGTAAAAAGAATATGAATATTTGATACATTTCTAATGAAAAAATTTAAAATCCTAACATCATTGAGTCAGTGCCCAAACAATTCTCAAATGTTCATACCAGGCACCATCACATTCTCATAATTATGTGCATGTTGTCAAGTTGTACAAAAGAGCCACGAACAGGAAATATGACAGAGCTGAATGATTCCTCAGAGGGCAAAGCACACGGAGCTCTCGGTGTGTCAAGGGCCTCTCAGGACAGCGGGGACAAACCCAACACTGACGATGAGGCACATGGGCCCGAAGCCTCAAAGATACGGGGTAGGGAAGTTAAAAAGAAGCGAGGGAAGTTGTAGAGGACATTGTAACGTCTGGATCTGATAATCTTCAGGCCGCTATGGTCTATTGTAAGAGATCTGTGTTACCACGAGCACAAAAACAGGACTGCCCGGGTTGCCGACAGCAGGCAGAGATGCAGAGAACGTGGAAAGGGTGCCCACCTCGCACTCCCGAGATAGCAGTGAGTGGGGTGTCTACTCTTTCTTCACTAGGGATTTGTCTTTGGAATACTTTAAGAATGAAATGTCCACCTTCACTTTGTAAGAAGTATCCAAAGACGACAGTGAGTCATTGGTTTGGTGACAAAACATGTCCGTTTTCTTGTCAAAGCCTGTATAATATCATGAAGGCAGTGAAGAAAGCTGGGATAAACATGGAAGAACCAGCACCCTTTGGTGTGGACTGTAGCCAAGAGGACAGAGAGTCTTTAGGGAGAGGGGGGTCCCCAAACCCACTAGAGTTATCATGTTTCTACCCTCATGTTAATTTGCAGCTAATTTTCCAACATCATGCTGGATCTGATATACTCATAGAAAGATTTCCTCCAAGTTCTGACAGCTTTGAATATTCTTAATTTAAAAGGTTTCCCATATCATGACCCATAGACCACACTTCCAGTGTTGATGAACAAGTAAAACACTTTTGATGACTTTCCCATCACAGGAACTCTATTTTCTCCTAACTTCATGTCACTCTCCAGAAGTAGGATCCACAAGATTAAACTGGAAAACCAATGCTTACAACTTTTCAGAAAAGTAGGATTCTTTTCTCACCTTTTAAAACTGCCTTTCCTTGAAGCAGATCTGGTGGTTCTTTTAGAAATGCCTGCACTGCCAGAAATGTTAGGTTCAGATGTTTTACAGCTCTGAACACTGGACTGAAGAATTACTCTGAAAATAGTTGGAAAAAAATAAGATTATATTCACTGAAACAATTTTCAAATATGTGACAGAGGAAGGCATTTTTGTACTTTAGAGCAGCAAATTATTTTATTGAGAATTGATAGGATTTTCTATAAACACATCTGCCAAAAAAACCTGAAACACATTTTTACATCAAAGCCTTTTGAAATGAAGCATCTCATTTCCCTTTGAAGGTTACATAAAGATAATCAGAGTGCTTTGCTTTTGGAAAATGAATGACCTGGCATTTTAAGCAATTCCCATACCAAAGAAATCCATCAGCCAAACAAATTTTTGTGCCCAAAGGTAAAAATAGATTCTCAGATTTCTAGTCATAAAAACGAGACATCATTAAGGAAACCCAAAATTCTAAAGAATATAAATATGAATTTAGGAAACAGCTACAAAATATTCACTCTTCGGAGCTGAAAATATGGGTAATAAACACTAAATCAATACTAATTTTATATAACATTTCAAAATTTGAAAATATGTTCAAGCAAAATATGAGTTTTGTCTGGATTATAACTACTTACTAAATCTCCAAGAACCATTAAAATGAAAGTGAAACCACTTAAATTTTGTGAAACTTTCCTTCATTAAACTCTAAAAATCTTAGAGAATTGCTGCCTACGAGTAGGCATTGCCCAGGAGGCAAATACATGAATCAGAAAAGAACACCCTCAGATAAAGGCCGCCCACAATAGCCTGTTCATAAGTAGACAGTCATTCTCTTTTTTCCTCCTTAAACCGGCACAGGGAAACCAGCAGAAAACATCAAAAGATTTTATATGTAATTCTTTTCTTCAAGAGATAATCACTGAAAAACCAAACCACATATATACACATTTAAATATATCAACTTGTATTTATCTGAAAGAGAAAACTGACTTACACTGACTTACAAAGCTTTCTTCTTTCGTAATCAATCATAAAGATGAAGTAGCCAATAAACACTTCTAAGAACCTAGCTCACAAGAGTAAAAAGAAACCGTTACAACTAATGAGCATCCTGCCTCACATGCCTGTGTTGCAGCATGTTGGTTAATAACCAAAGCCAGGGCCTTAAAATGTAGTAAAGATCAGTAAATTCCTATAATCTTAGTATGACCCAAAGCAAAGCATATTCAACATGTAGTGAAATGCTAAACTTCTCATCACGAAAAAAGCCCATGGGTTTTCTTGTGCCAGAGCACAGTGTGGAGCTTGCCTGGGCCAGTGGTTTCAAGCTGTTTGGGGAGGAGAAAGGAGGGGCAGCTATCACGGCTGTTTCACTTCGTCCATGGAGGATCTCTGAAAGCCCTACAAAACCAGCCTTCAATCTCACGGAGGAACACAAATCCTAGATAAATTGGCCAATGCTTGGTTCAGCATTTCTACTAGAGTTTTGTCATCTGAAATGTTGACTATTCTAACAAAACAGAAAAAGTATATGCAGATTTAGTTGTAGCATCAAAGGTGCCCAGTACTCTGGCTTATGAATTCTACCCTGAAAACAAGAAATAATTTAGAAATTCTTTCTGATTATATTAAGTGAGGGGGAAATATTTACTCATCCCTGTTAAGGATCTGGATCTAGAAATCTGTATTAATAAAACCAAAACGAGACAAACTGCTGGTGCTTCACTCACTGGTACTTCTGAAACCCAGGCCTGGTGCTGGTGCCACCTGTGTTCTCATCAATCTCCCTCATCTGCTCCTTTACACGTGGAGAAAATGAGACCCCTTTTGGCTTTTTCGGAAATATAACATCTACTTCTCAAATTATTTGAGGCCACGGATGGCCAACAGTATAGACAACTACCGCACTGCAAAATCATTCATATGAGGAAAAAAATAAGAGCCAATGCATTGCCTGCTTAGGAAATTTGAGTCCTGATTTCACAAATGAACTATTATTGAAATGTTTAAATACTATTCAAAACAAAAAATTACTGCTAAATCAATTGGTAATTCTGAGGCTGATAGGAAACATATTTTAAAAAGTATTTATTTCTCTATAAAATTAGTGTAAATTAATGTGAACTAATATAATAATATTTAATAGCTAATAATTTTTGTGGAACTTTAAGAAAATGATAGAAATTTAGAATGCATTAATTACGCCAGGGAAGACTCAAGTCCAGTTATTTGCACTGACGACAAAGCAGTTATCATATCTGTAGGTTATATATCAGTAAAGTGGGGGGGAAAAACCCAACAACTCCACTGAGATATTATCAGTGATGTCCTACAAGAAGAACCTTGATAAGGTGGGCCAACCTAGCAAAAGGGAGTGAAGTGTTCCCTCTGCCACAGGGAACCTGGGTGCTCACGGCCTTCCACCTTCCAAACCAAGCCAATCACCTGGCTGTTTCAGAGCAATATTCAGCAGATACTCTCCTTCCCCTCTCTCCTGAAAAAATCCTCTGTCTTACTTACCTCGTGCCTATACTGCAGTTCACTTTCTTCTATGCAGTATCTTTGGAGCCTCAGTACTCTCAGATTTTTGGATATAGTCATATCTGCAACTCAAGGCACACGACAAAGCAAAAAACCTGAAAAGCCAGGTTTCTCACCTATCAAGTCACAAAATGCTTGAACAAGAAAATCCAATTCCAAGAGAAGACTCCATCAGGGGAACTATGCACTATGTATGCTAGTTGTCTACCACTAATACACACAGAGCTGCAAAATGATGGTCCTGGGCCCTCCGTTTGTGTCTTTCCCACTGTCTCAGAGTCTGATACAGCAACCTGAAGTGGCCTGCTTCTCTAGGGATGGCAGGGAACAGGTGCTTTTCACTAGTAACAACCTATCAGGAGATGCTACATCATCCACATCATCTGCCAACAGAGGCGAATGACAACGACAGTGTCCATGAGTAGTCACCTTACAAATAACGTCCTTTAGAGAGCAAGTACTTATTAACATTATTGTAACTGTTAAAAGCTTTCTGCTTCTGTAAATTCCAAATTAATTAGGCAGGCTAAATTGAATACTCTGCTTGGTTCTAGAAATGCAATGGCACACATCAGTCACAACAACAACAAAAGGTTACAGCTTACATAGAATATTAAAAAGAGCCTGATAGAGACCATTTTCAAACTTACCCTGGGAATGATAATACAACCACAAAGTGCCGGAGTATTATTAGTGACAACTCCACCCAATAAGAACTCCACCCACTCAGAACATCTTTGTTACTTGGAATAGTTTGAGAAGAATAACGTCTATGTAGCACAAGATGCTCTTGACACAGAATACATGGAAACTGAAGCTTACTAAGAAAAATCACCGAGAAGGTTAATCTATATCAGAAATACAGCACATCTGAATGTGCGATAATAAGCTTGTTTTAATAAGATATTCAAGAAAATGCCAAACAGGAAGATGGTAAGCAGGTTTTCCTTAATTTTGAAAAGAGTGAAAGCTGCTTGATTTTTAAATCTTTCTTAGCCATATGAAAACACTCAATGAAAAGACAAAGTACCAGAGTTGGCTGCAATGAAATTTCACTTTGGAAGAAATCTTGGAAGGAACAGTTATAACATTCTTTTATGACTTCTAAGTCCAAATGGAGATAAGAGAAAATTCTTAAAATATGAGTTAAAGAAAAAGTTTCAGAGAGGGAAGAATGCAGCCCAGGTAAGAGGGTGGTGGTACACCTAGCACACAGGAAGGACATGCCCACCCTCTGTGCCTGGGGTCTTCACTATGCTGCTCCACCGGGAGTGGGGGTGGGGGGGTAGCCTCTTCACTGTTAAGGTCTTCATTTCAAGGAGGAAAGATCTCAAGAGAATACGAATTTGCCTATATTAATCGAATAAAGACATTCTGGTTATTTTGGGGAAAAAGAGAAAAGTGGGAGCAGTGACTGTCACATGGAAACACACACCAAAACAGGCAGCCTCTGTTCTGCCTTCACTGAACATCAAGTTTTGAAAACTGTACTTACTGTGTTCCCTAAAGGGGAGGAAATGAAATGAGATAGAGTAGAAAATCCTGCATACTAAAGATAGAAGACTTAAGAGAAAGCTGTTATACAGTGGCAGAATTGGAGGGGAAACCCAGGAAGTGATCTTCATTAGACCTCAAGGCTACAACATCAAATCTTTACTAAACGTAGACCAGTGGGAAAAATTCTTCTTTGCTAGATTAGAAAGGACATTCTCAAGATACAGAAAATCAGAGGGAGGCTGTAGAGCCAATTAAGTGAAAGAAAACCACCCCAACTATCCCAAGCTAACTAAATACTATTGATAGGAAAGAGAAACTATTTCAGTGTCTTTATTTATAAAATGCTATTTCAAAATATCTGTTAAGAGCAAGAGCAACTTAAAAACAAGGTATGTTATTTTTAACATCCCTCTTGCGAAAGAAGCGGTGAAGCCCTCCCTCCCCACCACCATCCATTCATTGACAAGATTCAGAAAAAGAACCTTTGAAAACAGGCAAACCAACAAAGCTAGGAGCTGACAAGGAGAAAAGCATGCATGGTGAGAATCGCGCTGGGCACCGGAAGCAGGCGACAGCGGAGACGTGGAGTGGGACACTTACACAGCAGCTATCTGCCAAAGGGTCCTGACGGCTACTGTGCTCTGAAACCATCGAAACAGAATAGCAGGATGGGAAGAATGTAGTCACAAACAATCCACCAGATGACAACACTACACAGTGCAGAGGTCAGCACAGCTAGGGGACATCTGGAAAGGGGTGAAGGGGAAAGAACAGATGTTCAAATTGGGAAGCCAAAATAAATAACACAATACAAAATAAACAAATAAAGCTACATGTGAATCTTAGACACCTGAAGGCCCAGTACAGCGACTGGGATGCACAGGGGTGGGAAACAAGGGTGGAGTTTTGCCATTTTGTGTTGGGGGCAAAAAATGCTGCCTTTAGTTTAAACAGGTTTGATAATTTGGGATAAAAGGTTGGCCTCAATCTCTAGCTAGGTAACTGCCCCATGTTAATTTAAATTTATGATACTGAAATGGGTCATAGACTATGATTGAAATTCTTCAAAAAGCACAAGATATGCACATACAAAAAACTAAACCAAACCACAGGTAAAAAGGAAGCAAATCCAAACAACCAAAAGAAAAAAAAAAGCCATAGACTAATTAACAAGATAACAGGAGGCACAATTATAAAAATTATAAACGAACATAGCACAGCATAAGTGATCACATTTCAGTGGAGTTGTAACTAAATTCCTAAAGCATTGCGCACGTGACACACCCAACCCCAGGCAACACAAAAGGGGCAAAGTTTCACTTATGTACTCATACTATGCATTTTTCCTCAGTTGTTTTCCTCATTCATTTCCCTCAAGCAATACAAGTTTGGCTTTCAGCTTGGTGTTTCCTAATCCACGGGCCTGGGTTCTAGCACAGAAGGGAGGAAATCTCCTCACACTGGGAAGGGTGGTAACTCCTTCCAACTACTGCACTTCCAAATGGTCAACTGGGTACATCTGTGACCCAATACGAAAGGCTCCACTGAGCATTTTCTGTGGACTGTACAAGGTGGCAAGCACTGACTTAGCTTACTACGTCATTTTTATTGTTGACCTCATCATCAACATAATTAAGAGCTATGTGCCAGGCACCCAATACAGTGGGAAAAGGGCAGACTCGAGATAAAATCTAACCTCATCCTACAAGTTATACTCACACCAGCTTCCCACAAAAATACCAAATCTACTAATATTAAGATTACAGGGGCTTAATATTTAAATGGAATAGAATAAATGGCCTAGGAACACTACAAAACCTTCCTGTGCATCCCACCCTTCATTTCAGTTACTGAATCAACTGTTATCCTAAAGGCAGAATGGCCTGAATGTCCAGGTGTCTGCATTACAGATTTTTATTTGCTTCTCTTTACTAGCTCATGGCCTAAGAATTATTTTCCATTGCTGAAACATACTCCCATTTCTACTGCACTATTAAGGGAGACTTTAGGGATTTTTCCAGGCTAATTATGTCTCCATTTTTACCTTATTCCCATCGGTATGCAACTCTACTCTTCATGTTTCATTTAACATGAACAAATCTAGAAGAAATGATCAGTACACAGAAGGACAGGCGGCATGGCTCAAGTTATATTCATTTTAGCACAGACAATATACTTGCCATCAAGTTCTGAAGATGAGATCAATGTCATGGTGCTATGTGATTCACTGTCTTCTCAGTAATCAGGATCAGACAGGCTCTCTGAGAAAGTGGCTATTTTACAATTTCTTAAAACTTTAACTCTCCCCAAATATTAACCATTTATAAAAGAGAAACCAATAATTGGAATAACATTTTGTATACTATACCTTTCTCCTAAGAATCATCTGTATTTTTTTTTTTTTTTTTGAGACAGAGTCTCGCTGTGTTGTCCAGGCTAGAGTGCCATGGCGTCAGCCTAGCTCACAGCAACCTCAAACTCCTGGGCTCAAGCAATCCTCCTGCCTCAGCCTCCCGAGTAGCTGGGACTATAGGCATGTGCCACCATGCCCGGCTACCTTTTTCTATATATTTTTAGTTGTCTGATTAATTTCTTTCTATTTTTAGTAGAGATAGGGTCTTGCTCTTGCTCAGCCTGGTTTCAAACTCCTGAGCTCAAACAATCCACCCGCCTCGGCCTCCCAGAGTGCTAGGATTACAGGCGTGAGCCACCGCGCCCGGCCAAGAATCATCTGTATTTGTGTATTTCTTACAAACTTCCCTTCTTGCAAGTACTGTATTTTCTTTATTTTTTTTTATTTTTTATTTTTTGAGATAGAGTCTCACTCTGTCACTAGGTCTTGACTCTTTGGAAATGAGCGTCAAGTGATTTGAACTCTTCAGAAAACATATTCTTGGGAATCACAGACTCAGAGGGTGACTCAAGGAAATTTTCTATAAGCCTTAGTTAATAAGACCCTTTGACTAAGCAGAATTAGCATCCCCTGACTCCCAACATGACTTTTGAACAAAAGGCAACGAAATATTGAGAAAAAAACTGATGATGCAGATTCTGAAAAACAAAATAAAAAACCTGAGCAACCCACAGAAGCATCAGTTTCCTAGGGTTTGCAATTTAAAGTGTGGTCCCTGGACTAGCAGCATCTGTAACACAGGGAAGCTTGCTAGAAACGCAGCTCTCAGACCCCACCCCAGACCCACTCATAATAATCTGTAGTTTAACAAGCGCCCCAGGTGACTCAAATGCACAGTGATGTCTGAGAAGCACTGCTTGAGGGCACTGCCTACTGCTTTCATCATGTCCAGAATTAGTTTCAGATGATTTTATCATATTTCTAAATAAAAAGAACCATTAAGGCCTTAGATAACAAATTTTTATGAAAAACAAAACTGCTTTGGAGCTAAATAAATCATACAAAAGGCACTTTTTTTTTTTTGAGACAGGGTCTCACTGTCACCCAGGCTAGAATACAGTAGTGTCATCATAGCTCACTGTAACCTCAAACTCCTGGGCTCAAGTGATCCTCCTGCCTCAGCCTCCAGAGAAGCTGGGGCTACAGATGTGTGCCAACATGCCCGGATAAAAAAGGCACCATTCTTAAAGCAGTCTAGTTGACTGAAGTACCACTAAGCTGCAAAGAAGGCTTAATAAATGCCTATAATCAAAATTGATGCCCTACATTCACATGGCACTTAATATTGGAAAACTCAATTCTTAGCTTTGGGTCTTTTAAGAACTTCACAGGTGAGCAATCCATGATGACACAAGTTTATATGTAATTCTACCGCAGAATTTTTAGATTATGAAGAGATACCAGTGAAGAACCACTTTTAATTATAAACAAAGCCTGATCTCTGCCAATATAAATGACTGATTATATCATCAATTCCTGACCATATTACAAGATGCTTACTGAATAAAATGATCTATCTCCATACCCCCCCGCAAAAAAAGAGGGCTGGGAATTTGGTGCCCCATAATAAAAAGGGAGGTAACCAGAAGGAAGAAATCCCACGGCAAAAGTAGGAGCATCTACTAGAGGACAGCCTAGAAAAAAGCATAATGGCCATGTATTTTGATCCTATGTATTTTTCTAACAATCCTGGATGTTCCATGAGGTTGAACCCAAACTACAAGAAAATACATGTGAACATACATACACTCAATAACTAAAACACTTCCTATTCTCATGCCAAACCTTCCTCTATAATTTGAAAATAATCTCCAAATTAAAAAAAAATACAAAAATATAGTTTAGACCAGTTCATTGTTGCCCCAAAACAATATAGCGCCATTAAGCCATCATGTCTCACTAAATTCTACCATATTAAAACAAATGATCTGAAATTTGGCAAATTTAAAGAAATTCACCATTTTAATAACTATGGACAAGTTTGTTATTCTGGGCTGTACATCTGCTGTCTCTCTGGAGGATGTCCCATGCTGATTATCTGAGGAGAAAAAGCATTCCTAATGTCGCCCCCCCACCTAAAAGGCTCATGAGGTTACATATGATAGAGGACACAGATGAACAGGACAACTGAGAGCTTCCGAGGCCAGCACCCTTGTGTTTTAAATAACATCATCATTTCAAAGTAACATAATGGGCATCCAACTAGGGAAAAAAATACACAGGAAAAAATGCTCCCAAAGGACCCCACACGTATCTTAAACATCATCAACCACTACAAAGGAAATCAGACTCACGTGAGGGGAATAGCGTTTGTTTTTGATTGTCTTCTGCTTTTCAGGGCCCGAAGTCTATCACCTTGTGTCACTCCATTGATTTCATCGTCATCACTGTACTGTGTAAGTAGAAAAACACTGAGCTAATGATTGAAGTTGCACTTATTAATGCAGCAAAGCATAGGGGCTACTTATCCATATAAACACACACGTAAACACGTACATATAGACACTACGAGTTTCTGCAGAACTCTGAAGTATATTTCTCCTTTCGAAATCAAGCTACAGGTCACATCTCAAGACAATAGTTGACTTACACAGAACCCAACAGCACTCTCGTTATAAAACACACAGATAGTGAAGAGGCATATAGGCTTGTAATTATAAAAACATTCTATTTAAAATTCCGCAATGCACTTACCACCACTTAATCTAGTACTGCTACCCCCTAAATTCTTGGTTCTTTAAAAGTTCTCGCTGTATCGGCTGTTGTGAAACAGGAACAAGGGGTGAGGACCCCGGGAACACCTAGGTCTACCTAAGAGCTGACTTCACAGACCTCTTTTTCCTACGCTTGCCAGTTTTACAGACATACAACCTTCTTTTAATTATTTTGAGTAAAAAGTTCCTAGACAGGGTTATAAATATAAAAAACTGTGTGACACTAATCCCTCAAAGTATGCTTTATTATTTTCACCTACGGTTTTCTCCACACCCTAAAAGGTTCTCAACAGCATTTAAAGCAATAACAACAGCGTGACCAGGATGGTTTGATTACCGGTTCAGGTTCTGGCTTGTCTTGGTTCCTGACCCCATTTATTGAAATGTCATCAACACCAGAGAGGAGTCGGGAAAAGGCTGCTCCGTGTTGTCCATTCTCCTGCCCCCTTAACTTTTGACGAAAATAGTCACCTTCCAGCCAGAGGCTTGCTTGTTTCCTAGAGCATTTAAATGACATCAAAATACAGCTTTCCAGAAAAATATACAAACAACTATTTCCTCCCAGACTGTCTGTTGTTACTGGAGACTAAGGAAAATTCCCCTTCCCATTGCTTTCCAGACCCCCATGTTCCCTGCAGAATTACAAAAGCCTTCTGTCTACTTACATCACCAAAAATTGTTGCTGAGGCCCAATCACTGAGCCAGGTCTACAGATCCTGATCCACGCAATGGTCTCGGCTGCTGTCATCTTGTAATGCTTCATGATGTAGCAGGCTATCAGAGTGCCTGTGCGACCAAGGCCGGCTAGGAAAAGAAATCAATGAAACCTGGTCTCATGTACTCTAGAATTTTGTTGGACAGGTAGAATTTTTTTAAAAGGCTTCCCACGATTCTGTGTCCCCCGACAGTGGTTCTCAAGGCTGGTCACATACTGGAATCACCTGGACAGTTTTAAATATACTGGTGCCCAGAATGCAGATTTAATGGGTAGGCAGTACAGCCTGGACACAGAGACTTCTAAAATCCCCCAGGGCATTCTATGTGTAGCCAAGACTGAGAATCATCTGAGCATGATTCGCAGTAAGTGCAGTGTTTTCTGCCCTGGGTGTTTTGGGAAAATGGTACCACCATCTTTCCAAAATCAAAAGCTCAAAATCTTGCACTTACTCCCACATCCAACTAAATTTTCTACTCTTCTGTTATACCCATTTTCACTCAGATTTTTTAATAAACTCTTGGTCCTGTCCTCCTTTCCTCTAGACTATTACCTAGACTATTATCATTACCTCCTGTGAGGGTTAATTTTATGTGTCAACCTGGAGGGAGTTCTTGGATGAGATTAGCATTGAAATGGGTGAGCTTTCAGTAAGCATACGGCCCTCATAATTCGGGTCATCCAATCAGGCCTGAACAGAACAAAGAGATCAACCTTCCCAAGGAAGAGGGAATTCTTCAGCAGACAACCTCCAGACTTCATCTGCACCATGGCTCTCCTGGGTCTCCAGGCTGCCAGCCCAGAGTTCCAGACTCGCCAGACTCCATATTTGCATGAGCCCATTTCTTTAAATAAATCTCCCACATACAAGCATCCTGTTGGTTTTGTTTCTCTGGAGAAGCCTCACTAATACAGATTTGGGTCATGAAGTGGGGCGCTGCTGTAACAAACATGTAAAAATGGAGAAGTAGTTTTGGAATTGGTAGAGGCTGGAAGAGTTTTGAGACACGTGTAGGAAAAAGCCTCGAATGCCTTGAGGACCACTGACATGAAAGATGATTCTGGTGCAGTCTCAGATGGAAATGAGGAATGTGTTATTCAAAACTGGAGGAAAGGCAATCCTCATTATAAAGTAGCAAAGAAATTGACTGCATTGTGTTCTAGTGTTTTATGGAAAGCAGAATTTGTGAGTGATAACCTTGGAGGTTTAGCAGAGGAGATTTGTAAGGAAAATGTTGAAGGTACAGCCTGGTTTCCCCTTACTGAGTAAAGTAAAACGTAAGAGGAGAGAGAGGAATCAAAGAAAGAATTGTTAAGCAAAAGGGAACCAGGAACTAAAAATTTAGAAAATTCTCAGCCTGTACATGCTGCAAAAAAAATTAAGGAAGCATGGTCTGGAGAGAACATCAACTGTGAGGCTGGACAATCATGCCATGAAGAGATCACTCATGGATTTAATCACCATCTCAGCAGAAGTCAGGTATAGAGATGGGATTATACTAGTAGAGACACTGCCAGTTTGGACGAAACAGGACAGACATGGAATGAAATAAAGGAAGGCTTTTGGACTTCTGACAGTAGAGCTACCTGGGTGCATGCATGCCTTGTCCTTCATGAAAAGGAAGCATGATCCCAAAGGCAATTCAGAGATCCACAGGGTTCTCCATGGCCACAAAGACACAGAGCACATGGGCCCAGGGGCAAAGTTGTCTACTTCTGGGTTTCACAGGATAGTGAAACCCAGATCATGCCCCTGATCATGGCATAGAGGGCAAAGCCACCACCCTAGAGGGCAGAGCATCGAGCCTAATGGCATTTGCCTTACTAGGTTTTAGACTTGATTGGGAACGTAACCCCTTTCTTCTTTCTGATTTCTCCTTTTTGGAATCAGAATGTCTATACTATGCCTGTCCTGTAATTACATCTTGAAAGCACATAACCTGTCTGCTTTTGCAGGTTCGCAGCTGGGGAGGAATTCTGCCTCAGAATGGATCATACCTCAAGTCTCACGTATGCCTGATTTAGATGATGTTTAGATGAGACTTTGAACTTGGAGTTGATGCTGGAATGGGCTGAGACTTTTGGAGGAGTTGAGATGAGGTGAATGTATTTTCAATGTTAAAGGAACATAAATTTGGGGGGGTTCAGAGAGCTGAATATTATATACCAAATTGTGTCCCACCTGACCCTCCCAAATCCATGTTGATGTTCTAACTCCCAATGTGTCCATACTTGAAAATAGGACCTTGAAGGAGGTAACTGAGGTTAAATGAGATCATCAGGGTGGGGCCTTAATCCAATAGGATTCCTTATAAGAAAAGGAAGAGATACCAGGAGTGAGGGCACACAGAGAAAAAACTATGTGAAGACATGAAGGCAAGGCAGCCATCTACAAGCCAAGAAGCAAGGCCTCACCAGAAACCAACCCTGCCGGTATCCTGATCTTGAACTTGCAGTCTCCAGAACTGTGAGAAAATAAATTTCTGTTGTTTAAGCCACCCAGTCTGTGGTATGCCCTAACAGATTAATACACTTCCTAAGGAACCTCAATTTTCACTACACAATCCAATTTTCATATTTTCATCATTTTTCTTCCCAAAACAAACATCTAATCATACCAAATCCTCTTCAGACTTTTAATTGGTCATTAGTCCACTTCAGAGTTTCTCAACCTCATCAGTATTTTGGGCTGGACACGTCAATGTTGTAGGGGGTGGTCCTGTGCATTGTGCAGTATTTAGCAGCACCCCTGGCCTCTACCCACTAGATGGATAGTACCCACCCAGATTGTGAAAACCAATGTCTCCAGGCATTGCCAAACATACCCTGGGGGTAACCTGGCCAAGAACGACCTCAACTGCTTATTATAATAAAAAAAATGAAATAACCAATGTTGGATTTTATTTTTAAAAAGTGGGGTAAAATATACATAACATAAAATTTACCATTTTTCTTCATGCATCATTTTCCTGATTTTCTTTAGTTGTCTGAGTTCTCTTTTAGCTTACTGTGAATTTTTAAGACAGTTATTTCAAATTCCATCTCAGGTAATTCAGAGACCTACATTTCCTTAGGGCTGGTTTCTGGAGATCATTTTAACCAGTTTGGGCATATGTGTGTGTACAGTTCAGCAGCGTTAAGTACATTCACACTGTTGTGCAAACATTACCACCATGTAACTCCAGAGCATATTTCATCTTGTAAAACTGAAACTCTGTACCTATAAACAATTAACTCTCAGTCCTCATCTCCCCTCAGCCTCTGGCAACCCACCATTCTACTTTCTCTCATTTGATTACCTCACGAGTGGAATCATACAATATTTGTCCTTTTCTGACTCGCATATTTCACTTAGTATAATGTCTTCAAGGTTCACCCCTGATATAGCAGCATGTGCAGAATTTTCTTCATTTTTTAAGGCAGCACAATATTCCGTTACATGTGTATGCTGCAATTTGTTTATCCATTTATCCACTGATGGACAATGGATTGCTTCTACCTTCTGGCTACTGGGAATAACATTGCTATAAACACGGGTGTACAAATATCTGTTCATATCCCCGCTGTCAATTCTTTCTGGGTATATACCAAGAAGTGGAATTGCTGGATCATATAATTATATTTTTAATTTTTTGAGGAACTGCCACATCATTTTCCATAGCCACTGCACCATTTTACATTCCCACCAGCCGTACACAAGTATTCGAATTTCTCCACATCATCACCAACACTTGTTATTTTCTGGTGTGTACACGGTTTTTTTTTTTATATTACCCATCCTAAGTGACGTGAAGTGGTATCTCACTGTGGTTGTGATTTGTTTTTCCCTAATCACTAGCGATGCTGAGCAACTTTTCATGTGCTTATTGGCCATTTTATATCTTCTTCAGAGAAATGTCTATTCAAGTCCTTTTCCCATTTTGAATTGGAGTTTTTTTTTTTGTTGTTGTTGTTGAGTTTTAAGGGTTCTGCCTATATCTTCTGGATAGTAATTCCTTATCAGATGGGTGATTTGCAAATATGTTACCCTAGTCCACACTGTTATTCTGTTGATAGTATCCTTTGATGTACAAAACTTTTACATTTTTATAGTCCAATTTGTCTATTCTTTCTTTTATATCTGTCTCTGGTGTCATATTACTGCCAAATCTAATGTCATAAAGCTTTCCCCCTATGTTTTCTTCTAAGAGTTTTATAATTTTAGGTCTTATGTTTAGGTCTTTCATCCATTTTGAGTATTTGTATATGGTGATATGTAAGGGTCCAACCTCATTCTTTTGCAAAAGGATATCAAGTTTTCCCAGCACCACTTATTGAAAAGACTGTCCTTTCCCCATTGAGTGGTTTTTGCACCCTTCTTGAAAATCATTCGACCACATCCATGAGGATTTGTTTCTGGGCTCTCTATTCTATCCAACAGGTCTATGTATCTGTCTTTATGCTAGTATTACACAGTCTTGATTGATGTGGCTTTGTACTAAGTTTTGAAATAAAAAAGGGTTAAGTCCTCCAATCTTGTTCTTGTTTTTCAAAATTGTTTTGGTTACTCAGCATCACTTTAGATTCCATATGAATTTTAGGATGATATTTCTATTTCTGCAAAAAATATGAGGATTCTGATAGGGATTGTATTGAGTCTGTACATCCCTTTGAGTAGTACTGACATGTTAACAATATTAAGTCACCCAATTCATGAACATGAGATGTCTTTCCATTTATTTATGCCTTCTTTAATTTTTCTCAAAAATGTTTTATACAAGTCTTTCATCTCCTTAATTTCCAAATATTTTATTTTTTGATGCTATTGTACATGGAATTGTTTTTTTAATTTCTTTTTCAGATTGTTCATTGTTAGGGCATAGAAACACAAGGGTGATTTTTACCTGTTAATCTTGTATCCTGCTACTTTGCTGAATTCATTTACTAGTT